CATCTTGAGTAGAAGCAGCTAATACTTCCACTGGCCTCACGTGTTTCCCGAGCTGGAAGCCTGGGAATAAGTTGCCCCCATCTTTGGAGCAACCTTTTGCGTAACCTTCGCGTTCTGGCACTTGTACTGCGTGTGTCCGTATTCCCCGCAGTTGATACAAGTGCCACGCATTCGGCGGTCACGCCACACGTCTTGATCAAGACCTGCCTTAATCCACTCAGCCTGTTTGGAGGCGGCCTTCCCTTGACCCCTGGGCTGGCCTTTCCCTCGGCCAGCCGCCTGGGTCTTGACTACTGCGGCGAGGGTGCTACCCTCAGCTACCTCCTCGCCGTCCTGCTCTGTGTAGTCCATCAGGTCAGAGAGTTCGTCGATCTCAGTTTGAGTCCCATCAGACTCAACCATCATCAACTTTACTCCCTTCTTTTTCCATTCTTGAGGACTCTTCTTCTTCTTTGAGTCACTCTGTGAGGTAGGTTGAGCATTGCCTAGTGTGGCCTCCAAATCTAAGGCTTTCCTAGACAGTGTCTCAAACGAATGGTACACAGTGCGTGCCTCGCTGGCCAGTAAGTTCCTGATGTTCTCTGGTAAACATCTAACAAAAGTAGTTAGCAGGAACTGGTCACTGTAGTCGATGCCTGGAACGAGGATCAGGCTCTCAACGGTAGTCGTAAGCTCTCTAACTGACCTGAACTTTCGTTGGTCCAGTTTGTTAATGGCATCAGTGGCCTTTTGTGCCTCCTGGGGATTATGCCATCGAGCTTCTACCATTTCCATGAATTGGTCTAAAGTCAAAGACTTAGCCCGGTCCGCCATGCGTCACCCGTACCCGGCCTTCACAACTACACCATCTAGCCACTTGGCTGCCTTACCCTCTAGGTAAGACGCCGCAATTACCAATTTCGTCCTCAGGCAAGGTCCTTTTGGCCTTCACCCAAACCGGGACCGTCCTCAACCATGTGTTGAGTTCCTCGTCCTTTCTCTCGCTTGAGAAGGCAAGAGGCGGTTTCATTGGGGTCTTAGGATACCATTGACCTTGCTGCTGTCCCTGTGGTGGAACAGGTTGTTGCGGTGATGTAGCTATCACCGCTGGACCCGAAGAAGAAGACGCAACAGTCTGTGAGACTGCTGCAGATGTACCACTTGGTTGTGTACCAGCTTGTACTGGAAAGGGGCCTGACATCGCCGTTAACGGCAACGGCGATTGCGCTGGTGGCCTAAATCCTGGCTTTGTCAAAATGTCCAGGATCTGGTCCAAAGTGTTCTGCATGAAGTCCATCCTGCTGTCCACGTGCGCATGCAGCTACAGCATGTTGTCCCTCGACACTTTCATGGGCTCATTCATTCTTGAGTCATCTAAGCCCTCTAACTTAGCTTTGTCAGCCTCTAACGTTTCAAGCCTGGCTGTTCTATTCTTTATCTCTTTTTCTCTATCGGTAGCTTCTTTCAGTTCCTTCTCTAACTGTGCACGGATCCTTTCGACCTGCTGGAGCTCCCTCATCTCCCTTTCGCGAGGAGTCAACGGGCTGAACTGCGAGCCCGCCATTTGACTTGTAGACTGTCTAGAACCTGATGAACTGGAAGTGCCAGCGGATCCTGTTGGCATTCCCAACTGGGGTCCAAACGAGAACACAGCAGAAGTTGCAGCGGAGGATGCTGCTGAAGAAGTCATGGCTGCTGCCCTCGATGCTGCTGCAGCCTGTTCCCTAGCTGCAACGTTTGCTGCTGCTCTCGATGCTGCGAGAGCACGGGCTCTGCGTTCGGCACGAAGCCGTCTTTCTTCTCCCTCGTCCAGGGTCCTGAACACGTACGGGATCCTACTTGATCTTGCACGTGTTAATCTACCATCGTCAACTCTCTCCTCATCGACGTCTGATCCGCTCATGAGTTAGGCAGACTTTATCTGCACTAGAATGCCCTAATGGAATCCTACCGCAGCATGTGTCTAACCGGCACCTAATTTTCTAGAAATGGTTGTCCGGCAAGTCCCCTACTGTACCGATCAAGTGGCATGTCTACAACATTCACACAGATTGTCTACATAGTCTAAATGCACTTTGACTTGTTCACTTACAGCAGCATTAGTTAGAACTGGCTATAGTCTAAATGCACTTTGACTTGTTCACTTACAGCAGCNACTTGTTCACTTACAGCAGCATTAGTTAGAACTGGCTATAGTCTAAATGCACTTTGACTTGTTCACTTACAGCAGCATTAGTTAGAACTGGCTATGGTAGCATACAACAGTCCTACACTAATCTGTCTGTGAGGTGTTAGCAGTCTGTCCACCAACTAATCAAAGGTACAAAAAGACAATGTAGCAGATGTATGATGAGTCGGTATAGTTGTGTATTCAGTTGAGCACCAATTGGAACCTACCCTCCCCTCCATCCAACATACCGAACAGCATCATTGAGCGAGCAGTGTCTTCGTGTGTGTATCGGTCCACCCCTGTGCCCAAGTCAGAGCCAAGTAAGCCAGCCAGCCCACTCTTATTTACCCTCGTACGGAAACGAGCCTTACACCCGGATGATCTGGCTGATCAGGAGGATTATTAAGAGCGCCCCCATCTCTGCAGGAATTCTTTAACGTCGCAGTCAGGACGACGATCACAGCCAGAATCATTCCGAGTACCCAACCAGAAATGTTTATAGACGGTCTGGTAAGCGTCTCATACAAGGCTGGCACACTTGGCAAGACTTCTATCTGGCGCAGCAAAGTGCCTTAATGGACAGCAGTCATCGCATGCGTGACCTACTCCCATTGGGTTGACATGGTGATCGTGACCCAGTGCTTCGACCAGGGCCCTTCAGAGGCACCGCCCTTTCTTCTTCCAGATGCTTCCGGGAAGATTGTCGTCTCTCAAGGTAGCGCGCTCACGACACCTCACCAAAAGAGAGGACTCTCAAGTTGGACTCACTTCCTCACGGTAAGAAGAGATTGAGAGAGTAGATAAGGTAAGGGAACAACGTACCTGGAGATAGCTGCCCCCAACCACAGATTTCTCACCATTTGAGCTGAATGTGCATTTGATGACCGGTCTTGACCTCGGTACCACCCACAACGCAATGCAGTGCCACCTCAGCCGAATGCAACATCAGCATGCTCTCATCACCAATCATACATTCCGCATGTATCCACGGCATACACTGCCGTATTAGCCTTCCGGTGCACCCCTCTCTACCCAGGGCGTGCACCTACAGTGGCCTGACGTCACAAGTACCCACTGCGAAGAAGCATCGTCAACGCACCAAGTCTGTACAACGCCAGCGTGCCAAAGGTAAGTGGCGATCAAACCAGCTCCAACATCAAATTGCAAGGAACATGAATATGGACGAAGCACAGAAATCCAGAATGCAAAATCACACTGAAGTCCAAGTAGTCAAAGCCAAAGCAGATAGCACACGGAACCGAGTAACCATCCAATTGAGAATGATACAGAAGAATCGTGAGTCAATGTCCATGCCCAACAGGGCAACACCAACAGCATAACCCAAATGTAGCTCTCTCTTGTGAATGGCGCCAGGCGCCCTATCAACTCTACAGCCTAGCCAACAACTACAGCAATGAAAGCAACCAGACAACTTGACTACCAGCGAGCGATGATGTCAACACCAATGCCGACCTCCACCTCCACCAGGTACGTGTCCTCTTCCCCACACTCTCCCTTGTTACCCACACAGCGCCCTTCACCTCCGAAGACCACCTCTCACTGCACCCTCATGCGGCCCAGCTATGGCCGCCAGTGCCTTGCATGCAGGCAGCGCCCTACCGCCTAGCGCTTGCCTGCTCCACCTTAGCGCAGCGCTGCTCATGCATAGCGCAGCACACCTGCATCAGCGCAGCGTGCCCGCAATGCCAGCATTGGCCAAGATCCCTGCCCACTCCCCCTGCTTGCCTATATGCCAGTCCAGCGTGTGGGCGGCCTCCCTTCAGCCTGTGACCAGGACCCAGAGGCTGAACTCAGCCTGATACAGTTGGGCCCCGGGGCAATGCAGTTGCGCCTCCTTCATCAAGGCCTGCGGCCAGATTCAGACAGTGGGCCGATTTCCCTTTGGCATTTTCGGCCTCTATACCCAGCATGCATTGTCGGCCTCACATTCGAGTGCCCAGGGCCTAACTAACTCAGAGGCCCTGGGCATTTCAGCATTTGCTGAAATCTGAGACTCGGTGCACTCCAACCAACTGGCGTGCTGCAACTGTATGGACCCCACTTCGTGAAATGTTGGCACAGAGGGCTCTTGTTGATTTGCTGGCCCACCTCCACTTAGGGCGGGCACGAGGCTTGCTGGGGCCTTAGCCCAGAACATGTACATCATGGCAAGGCCCCTACTTGAGGGCTCAATCCTCACAAAAACAAAAAAAAGTTGAAAAAACTGGACGAGTCCTTATGGTGGCTACAGCTGTGGATGGACGACATAAAGTTTCATCAACTGCCTGTACAATGTGTCCATTAGTTTGTGGCTTGCACGTAGCATATTCCGTGGATTTCTTTTCTTTTTTTTTGGGATAACTAACCCACTTAGAATTTGTTCAATTATATCAATTTGGCATAGCCGCCCATTTTTTATTTAGCTTTCAAGGCTGATCGTGTACATTGTACATTTTGTAATTGCTGATCATGGAACACCGAAAGTCAGTCTCCAGCCAAAAAGAACCCAAAATCACACTTTGGGTCCTCCACGATCTACGTACAAAAAACTTGAAAAAAAACTTCAAAAACGTTGAAAAACAAAATTAATTCATCTGTACAGAATGCGTCATTGCCTTAGTGCACTATGTCCTACAATGATTGCTGTATATGTTAATTGCACGATGGTTTGGAACATAGAGAGGGTCTGATACACCCGGTTTCAAGTGGGAGCCCAGAGGTGGGGAGAATGGGAGGGGGGGAGGAGGGAGGGGCCAGGGGGGCAAAAGGGTAGCGGGGGGAAGGTGAGGGGAAGAGGGGAGGGGGGGGGAATGTGGGAGGAGGGAAAGCGCATCTGCCCGTTTTAACTCACGTGTAGGTGATGAAGGCACAAGCTCGATTGGGAACCAGCCTGATGGATTGAATCTCGCCATGTGACTGAAAGTTGGACCTAAGGAAAAAAAAACACAACCAACAACAACACACAATTTAGAACAACCACTTCCGCGCCACCACCAACTCAGGGAGGGCATACTCACACAAGGACTTTGTTCAATTTATCTCTTGACGTGATTACAGTCAGGTGTATGGGTCTGGTCGTAATTGCAGTCGCACTCATTTAGGAAAGTGCTAGTGCGAGTACGGCCAGCCTCAGAGTACGTGGCAAGACAAAACGTGATATAGTTCTTCGTCTCATGGCCATACGAATACACACACAGACGCAGACTCCGGGTGTAGGTAGAGCACCATGAACTCTGGACGTGATTACAGTCAGGTGATTTTTTTGTGAATCATCATAACTTCATAAGGTATTCTACCTACGCCCAGCAAAATATCCACATCTGAGATAACTCTACAAGAGAAGAAGGGGGGGGGGAAGGAGGGGTCAGTGATTGAATGATCATCGACCTGATCGGAACAACCGCGGAAAGGAGGGTCCATAATTGCAGTCAGACAGATACATTTAGGGAAGTGCTCGCGTGAGTATGCCCTCAGAAGAAGGCGAACAAACGACGGGGATGTCATAGGGACTTGTTCCACTACACAACACTCGACATGCATTTGGACACTTTCTGGACCGGATGCATTCCAATGAATTCAGCATTTTGAATGTATTGAGTAAAGAAAGCGTCCAAACGCATGTATAGAGTGTTGTGTAGCAGGGCGAGGCCCATAGTGATCGAGAGAAGATGCACAGAGAAAAAGCGCAAGCATTCTATGTTTTTTAAACTTTTTCCTTCTGCTTTTTTAACGGCCAAGGGAGGCCTGGGTAATTCATATTTATTTCATTCTGTACCTCGGGGCATACTCACACTAGGGCTTTTTCTCACAGACCCCTGGACGTGGCAGTCAGATTCATCCAGGTCTGGGTGTAACTGCAATTAGATGCATTCTGAAAGAGCTAGTGTGAAAATGCCATCACTCAGCGATTTTTACATAGCACTTACATAGCACTGATAGCAGTGATAACTGAGTGATTGGGTGTAAAATTATGATCTTAGTATCATCTTACTGAGACTTCGCTGCAAGTAGAAGTACCATTTGCAATATACAGTGTGTAAGGCACACAGGACCCACTGGCGCTATGTTCATGCTTGGAAAGCACGAACATGAGCCTAACAACGGTCAGTTTCATGCGTTCCTGGAATGGACTACACCGGTGTTGCCTGGCACTACTACACAGAGTTGAATCAAAGTAGTGCTACAAAGCCAAGTGCAAATTCTTGGTCGAGTTCATTAAGATATATATTATATATATATATATATAGTCAAACAGAGCTGCACGGTAAACCGTAGGCAGAGAGGGAGAAGAGGACAACAAACGAGGGGGGTTGTCACAAACTGTTTCGTCGTAGTTTTACCTACCCATCAGGAGGCTGAACCCTCAACAGTCTGCAGAATCCACTAACTGACTGATTACACTGTAAGTGATAATCCACCTTAACCCCGGATGTGGTTAAGCGTCAACGACTGCGCGACAACTGATACCCTGGGAGAGGTGGGCACCAACCACTGCCCTCAAGGTACCTGTGACGAAAATCAAAGCAGACTATCACTCACCCACACCAGATGGAAAACTCTACAGACTGTCGGTTCACACCCCATCATATTGTCACATACATATCCATGAACGGTGAAAGAGCGCAGTTTGCGAAACAAACGGTAAAAATAAAAAGACAAGCCAAACATGAAGGGCACTGTCACTGAAACAAATTCATTTTTCTCATTCTTCCTGTAACCCCCCCTTCACCGTGTCTCTCTCATACAAGGCCCGCCACGTCGATGAAGTTGAGCGTGAGCTGGCCACATCCCGATGGTAGTCCGCTACACACATGGATGCAGAAACCATGTCGTCGTAACGATTCTGACAGACACGGTGGCGGGAGGGGGAGTCAGACTGAAGGGCCTGGGGGTGCGCCCACACAGCTGCCGGGCTGGAATCGTACGACCGAAGGGCCTGGGGGCGTCCACGAACTGCCGGGTTGGAGTTGTACCGTACGTAGTAACATACGGTAGCAAGAAGAAGATCAATTATTCCGTCACGCATACAACACCGTGGGATATATTGTCACATTTTTTATGCACTAAAAGAGCGCACTTTGCAAAACAAATGATAAAAATACACAAGACAAGCATGAAGAGAGCACACTGAAGTGACTGAACCCATTCATAGTCATATATATTGTCACAAACAGAATATATATAGTGTCACATATATTGTCACATATATATATAGTCAAACAGAGCTGCCCGGTAAACCGTAGGAAGAGAGGGAGAAGAGGACAACAAACGAGGGCTGTTGCAAACTGTTCCGTCGGAGTTTCATCGACTCATCAGGAGGCTGAACCCTCTATACATATAATGAACTAAGTCACATGTCACTGAACGAAAAGAGCGCACTTTGTCAAACAAGGGACAAAATAGTAAAATACACAATGAAGAGCACACACTGAAACCATACTGGGATGGATATCGTCAAATAGAGATATACACCCGCTCTATGTAACCTGAGATGCTCGCTTGCTAGAAAACCATGACAGCGATTGTGGTTTACCATATATATCTGGCTTCCAGACTGTAATCTACGATTGCTCCCTCACTCACTTCAAATCTTCTTCTGAAATTCGCTGATCAAGACCGCCGATGTAAAGAGTAGTGATGCTGTCGTCTTCAGGAGGAGTGAGCAGAGACATCTCCCCAGCTTTCCGGAATAGCTTGTTTGCCACTGGATCATTCACACTGAATCAAGCAACTCCCTCCCCACATCCACCCCAACTCCTCCACGACACACACTCACGTCCACATGGACGCACGTGTACACACACACACACACACACACACACACACACACACACACACACACATGCAGACAAACACAACAAGACAAGCACATACACATGCACACGCACGAACACATACACGCTATGTTTTATGGATGGTTTGGGGATGATTTGTGGATGGAAACAAGAGAGATTTTTGGGTTTTTTTTATAACACACACACAAGCCCATACACGTGCATGCACACACAATGTTTTACGGATGGATTGGGGATGATTTGTGGGTGAATCAACAGAGAGCTTGTTTGTTTTTGACAACACACACACACACACACACACACACACACACACACACACACACACACACACACAGACGAACACAACAAGACAAGCACATGCACGAACGAGCACATGGACGCACAAACACATGTACCGCCTCACCCAAGCACCAGGGAGCAAAACAGCAACAACAACAAATTTGTATCAGGGTTACTGTCAAGTTACATATGTATACACATACATTGTCACATATCTATCAAGTTAGTACCAACTTGAAGAGAGCACTCTGCGAGACAAATGAAGAAAATATCAGACAGTATGAGACACACTGAAGTGTTTTTCTTGCATTTTTCTGTGTAGGTATTTCCTCTCTTTCTTTTGACTTCTTCCACGGTTCTCTTTTATTTCCTCTTTCAGCCCTCCCTTTCCTGTGCCTCTCAGGTGCAAGGCCCACCACGTTGGCATATGCCATAACAGCCCACTTGCACGCTGAGAGGAAAGACAGAGCAAAGGAAAACAAAGGGAAAGTGAGAAGTGTGAAATACAAATGGGAGCATAGGGAAGGATAAATGGAGACTCAGGAGTCAGTCAGTCCTCACTCCTCAATGACAGAAGGGACATTTACGGTGGCGAGTAATGACATGGAAGAGAGCTCTCCTCCTGGGTCGCCAAACCTTGTCTCCGCCCTCCTCACTACACACCGCCTACAGCCTCACTCACCAAGCAGACCGCATGTATGTACCGCATAGGCAGAAGACAAGCGCCAGATGAGCGCAACGTACCACAGCTCCGATACCAAATTGCAAGGAAGATGAGCGATAGCGAACTTCAGCAATCAATCAGCATCATACACATAAGAGCAGATAGTCGTGACCTTGAACCAAGAGCAGAATTGCATCACGAGTTTCACCAAATAAGAACACACCAAAAGCTCATAATTGACAATGCTGGTAAAGTCTCATCATCATCATCAATGAAGAACCAATGTTGATATCCTATCTGGCGCTCGGCGCCCAGACTACAGATGGCAGATCCTATCTAGCCTACTCTACAATGCCGCCGGATGACGTCAACAGCTTCACCGAAGTACGAGCAGATCTCGGACAATGCCGTCACTTATAGCACCAGGTATGTCTCTCGTATCACTCACAACCCCGTTCCTCAACTCGCAAATGCCACTTGCACCCAAGGACCACCATGCGCCACACCCAGCCTACAGCAGCGCAGCTTGGCTATGGCTGCCTGCTCCTTCCAGCTCGCCCGTGAGCGCGTGAGTGCCAGCCAGCTTCAGCGCAGCAGCGCTTGCGCAGCATGCAGCCAGCACCCGAATCTCCAATGCGGAGGCAGGCCCTTTGCTATATGGAAGTGGCCTGCCTGTTGCTGCGCTGGGCCTGTCCCAAGAAGCTTCCGGTAGGCCCCGGTAGGCTGAGGCCCAGTCCAAAACGAATCAGGCCCAGGGCCTGTGGTGGTTACTTGTGCCCAACTGTCCTCGGCCTGTGTTTGGCCCATATACCGTATCCAGCCCAGGGCCTGCCTTCCATACATGCAAATAGGCGGCCTGGGCCTGGGTGCTCTTCAACCAACTGGCGCTGCGCAACTGCCTGAGTTTTCCACAGTTGCGTGGTGACCGAAATAGGGGCCCTCAGGCCCTCGTCGAGCCTGCCTTCACTTAGGGCGGCCGACGTGCTGCACAACAGGGCCAAAAAGGGGCTCATTGGAGCCTTGGCCGCGCACAGTGAAAACTAGTGACAAAAAATGTGGTGGGAAGAGGAAGAAGAGGAGGAGGAGGAGGAAGAACAAGTACAAGAACAAGAAGAAGAAGAAGAGGAAGAAGAAAGAGGAAAGAAGAAGAAGAAGAAGAGCATATAGACGCAACAACTCACCGATAGTATAAGCCTTTGATATTTTGCTTTGAAGAAGAAGAAGAAGAAGAGGCTGTAGACGCAACAACTCACCCATAGTATCGGTCTTTGATATTCTGCTGTGAAAGCTCTCCAGTTATGGGCATCTCATGCCTATACGGACATTCAGCTCCACGAGTGCATTCCCCACGAACATAAAAACTGCAAATGTGTGCTCGATTTCGCCTGTAGTAGGGTGTTGTCCTCTGCAGTTGAAGAATAAGGTCGTTCGGCTTGCTTCTGCCATAGAGAGACTCAAAGTCTGCACCAGCATGAGCCTTCACAAAGCGGCCAAGCGGAAAACAGGAGGGAAAAAAGAAAAGACAACACATTATGTAATGATGATCAGGACATGTCTTCCAAATGACAGCTTGGGTACTGCAATTGCTAGTCAGGTGAAGAAGGTAGCAACATCAACTGAAATGCTGATGACAAAGTTGGCAGGCTGCAATATCCGTTGGAATTTCTCAGTGTGCCAAGCAGTGTGCCAAGCAGTGTGCCAAGCAGTGTGCCAAGCAGTGCGACAAGCAGTGTCACAAGTAGTGTCACAAGCAGTGAAACGTTGCTTATGTGACAGACAGATCACAAGTTCAAATCCCCATGGATCCAAGACTGTTGGGTGCTATCCACCTTCAAAGGAACAAGGGTTTTGGTGACATGCAGACGCCCAGATGCATCGCAGCAGGACTACTGTCTTCACCCGAATAGAACGCCCGATCATTATCGCTGCATCTGGACTGAATGTTTGCCCCAAGTTCAGTTACGATGACCGGGCTTTCTATTCGGGTGAAGACGGTAGTTTAAAAGTTACAAAATCAAGGGGCCTATATTCCTGTCCTTTGCCATTAAGTCCTCTGAGAAATATGTTCATTCACTTCATCAAGTGACCTCAACGTAAAATTATATACTGCCAAAGCAGATAGCGAACCAGAGCAATGAACCAGGCTATGAACCAGAGCAATGAACCAGGGAATGAATCAGACTATGAACCAGGCTATGAAGCAGGAAATGAACCAGGCTATGAACCGGGCTATGAACGGGCTATGAACATGGCTATGAACCACAGACTATAAGCCAGCGTATGAACGAGGCTATGAACCGGGGTTACGCTACCTGTGGACAGCGGAGTCTCATCCACCACAGTGTTTGTTTCTTGCAAGAAGTGAATCGAAGAGAGGAAGTTCAAAATACATGAAGAAAACAACACAGTAATTCAAAGGCGAAAAGGGAACGGATGAGAGAAGAAGAGGAGGAGAGGGGGGGGGGGGGGGGGGGGGGGGGGGGGGGGGGCGAGCGGAGGAAGGGGCTGCCGCTGCAGCACAAAGCACAAAAAAGAACAGGCACGCAGATCCCATTTCTGTCCCTTGATCAGCAGCTGCCTTTCTTTCCTTTTCTCTCCTTGATCAGCAGATCCCATTCAAAGCAGTGTAATTATTGCTCTGTATTTTTTTGTTCCACCCTACATGTTACATGCTGAGCCTGCACACGGGCCCCATTTTGGGGGCCCGACGGTTGCTGGGGGCCTCCAGGCCGCACACCCCTCAGACGCGCGTCCTGGAGGCCCATGGCCGGCCTTAGGGCCGCAGGTTTCGATTTGAGGCAGCATTTATTTATTTATTTGCTGTCCTATTTTTGTCTGTTCAGGCGTCGTTTCGGACTTGCAGTTCGTCTGAACAGACTTTTGGTCTGTTCGGACAAAGGCCGCGTTTTGGGCCTTGCACAGGCAGGCCCATGCGGGCCACGTCCGTTGTTGTCCAGTTGTGGACACTCCCTGCTGCATCAGCAGGGAGGGCCTGGACGTCCGGTAGGGACCCAAGCAGGCCACATTTTGGCCTAGGACCAGAGGCACACTGAGGCACACCCGCGAGGCCCAGCGCTACTTATAGCTGGGCCACGTCATGGCAGACACAGTTCGAGTAGCTCACTTCTTGGGCGACACGCTGCTGGAGCAGCGCGACACTGCGCTGCGGTAGAGAGTAGAGGTGTAGGTAGGGTGAGGGGCGGAGGCCACACCTGCATCGTCGGTCCTCACCTGGGTGCCATAGCTGGCTCCACGCCAGCGACCTGCACACACACACACACACACACACAGAGAGAGAGAGAGAGAGAGAGAGAGAGAGAGAGAGACCGGCGGCAGTTACCTGCAGGTGAGACATCGAGGAGGACGACGTCTTCTTCTTCTTCGTCGTCTCGCCCTCCTCTTCTTCCTCCTTCCTTCTTCTTCTTCTTTAAGAGAGAGAGAGAGAGAGAGAGAGAGAGAGAGAGAGAGAGAGAGAGAGAGAGATTACAGGCAGAGAGAGAGAGAGAGAGAGAGAGAGATTACAGGCAGAGAGAGAGAGAGAGAGAGAGAGAGATTACAGGCAGAGAGAGAGAGAGAGAGATTACAGGCAGAGGTTACATCGGGCATGGAGCCCAGGATCTGATTCGACATTTTTGAGGCAGACATTGATTGGACATTCGTCTGGATGTACATTGCTTGTTGATGCTTTGCTGACACTGCACTGTCCATTCGAGTCATTTTTATCACTTTGTGGATCCTTGGCTCCACATACGTCGCTCAATTGAGCATGTATCACTACAGGTCAATGACTATGAACTGATTCGCTTCAGTTCTGGGGGTGTCAGTACTTCCGAACCATCTTGACCTCTATGTGGGTTTCCATTATTGCTGGAATGGATCAGAACACTACTGAATGGCTTGGACAACAGCATTTTATTTTATTTTTCCTCTTCTCGCCTTCCCCACTTTTTGCAAGAATCTTGACAACACTGAGAAAAACGTTTCTTTCTTACAGAACTCCCTTGTCGACCGACTACCGTCTTCACCTGAATAGAACGCCCGGCCATTATAGCTGAATATGAGGCAATTTTCAGTCTAGATACGGCAATAACGACCGGGCATTCTATTCGGGTGAAGACGGTAGGTATTCCCCAAGCGTGCACACACAATCCCAACCCCTGTGAGAACATTCCAACAACAGTTCGCAAAAACCTCTCTCTCTCTCTCTCTCTCTCTCTCTCTCTCTCTCTCTCTCTCTCTCTCACACACACACACACACACACACACACACACACACACACACACACACACACACACACGTACGTTGGCATGTTTCTCACTTGCATGCACTGACACACACGTGCACTGATGCACACAGGCTTTGACCCACACACCCACACCCACACCCACACACGCACACGCACACACACACACACACACATGTTGGCATGTTCACACTTGCATGCACTGACACACATGCACTGATGCATGCATGCCTTGACCCACACACACACACACACACTTCTCTCCACCTTTCTTCCCTTCCTTCTCCCCTTGGTTCCCTTTCCTTCTCTCCCCTCCTGTCCATCATTCAGAACTGCTGAACACAAACAAACGAGTACCACAAAAAATAACAGGCAAAACATAGAGTGCAAGTGTGCCACTGGGCACCTAGCATTCAGCAACATGAACTTGTGTAGCCTTGCGTCACTCGAATTTGCTTAAATGAAACAGCCGTTTCAGCAAAAACATCAAAATCATTCCACACTATCTACATGAAAACAATACCTCAAAAGAAATTACAATTCCTCTGCACCTGGCTGGAAATTTGGAAAAAGTGTTGCTGCCTCTTCTGTGGTGATTGTTTCACACACCCCCCCCCCCCCCCCCCCCCCCCCCTCCCCACACACAGAGCGGTGGCATATCCGCACAACTCATCAGAGTCACAGTGAAGTTAGTTAACACTCAGTGCAAACATACCAGGTTATCCTGTTGCTCCGCAAAGTACTCCCTGTTCACGTCGCTCCTTGGGATAGTATCACTTGAGATCCCCATGGCCGTGTCTCTGACCTGCACTGGCAGCCCGAACTCCAGATCTAGCAAGCACACCTTTATCCATCCATGCAACCCATGTAACAAAATGACCCCCCATATTTACACCACCACAATTACACAGGGAAAGGCGGCACACAGCGTGTGTCAGGATGTGAACAATTTGGGCACAATGACACTCACTCTATGACTAACCGACCGACCAAACTCTCCATCCCATTGCGTGCATGCCAATAGAACAACAGGTGCTCATAACGAGAAAGTAGCTTATGCTGAGTCTGCTGAATACCAATTGTAGCCAAGCATTGTCTTTCCCCACATCGAAGATGGGGTCATTACTGGCATATGTAGCCCAATTACCACATCCGATACTGAACATGACCACCTTGTGTTTTTATTCCAGGGATAAAGAGTAGCCGAAAATGTGGAGAGCAGAGAGTAGCAGAAGAACCACGCAAAGCAGAACGCAATGGAAAAAGCCAAGAGGTGTCGCTATTTCCTCTACTGAAGTACAATGCTCCTTTCACGCATGGGGTTGCTGACGCGCCACTCGGCAGATTCATCTGTGACTCTCCATACTACTTGCGTCAATTACGTAATAGCTGCTCTGCAGGCCCTTGGCACGGACCTGATTGAACAACGAGTACTCCCACGGTGTCGAAAATACACCTCAGGACTTTCAGAGATTGCGAATAGGTTAATTAGAGGTCTGGTGAGACGGCCTGTACAAACCCGGTGAGGGTTCTATTCGGCCTTACATGCTGTGCCCGATTGCACATGGCATACGCCTCCCACTCGGCTCCAAATTCTTCGTTCAGCGGTATCAATGGTTTGATAACCCAGAAGCGGATGTATCATACTCATGTATGTTGTCAAATACATAAATAATACTATATATCATCCTCTCGATGACAACATTTATATCCGTATACTCCAGCGGAGCAGTCTGTTAGAACCCCCTGTTTCTTGTCCCTTTCTCCCTTCCTTCTTACGGCTCACCGTGCAGTTTTCCACATCTTTGCAGAGAACCACCCTGTAAACGGTAGGCAGGAAGGAAGAAAAGGAGAAGACACTGGGGCATGTGACGGACTATTTCATCCGATTGTGTATATATCGTGATAGAGAACTGCCCGGTGAACCGTAGGCATAGCTGTTTTGCAGTCTGGGAAGCTGGTAGCAGATGGCAGGTATGGCTTGCCCGACTAGAAGCAGGAAGGAGAGAGAGACGATGTCTTTGGTCCAGGGCACTAGGTGCTATTCACTTCCCTGAGGAGCAGCAAGCAGCAGCTTGTGGACTCAGCTAGAGACACAGGATAGTAAAATTAGCTAAGGAACTGAAGGTCATAACAAGCACAGGCATGGAATGGTATCATAGACTTTTCCCTGTTTTTTGTTGAAAATTGAAATTCTGTTCGCTTTGGAAAGGGCTGCGACTTTCAGCATGTTTGCATTCCTTCAAATTGTGAAATACTGAGGAAGAGGGGGGAGGGAACACAAAACAAAGACCTGGAAAATCCAAAAGAGTAGAATCAGTAATCAACTCGCCAAAGGGCATACTCATTTTCACATTTTCCAGGACGTATCTGGCTTCAAAATTATGTACAGGTGCCCTTGAGAGGCTTCTTGCAATGTATCCCCCCTTCCCCAACCCCTCGCATGACTCTACTCTCCAAAGCTTTTTTTCTTCCCCCCCCCCCAAAAAAAAACGATTTGCTAAATGCCGCACACCTAGCGTAAGTATGTTTTAAGAAACATACCAGTGTGCACAGGCCTACAGGTGGAGAGAGGAAGAAAACAAAAGAAAACGAAAAACAGAGGAAGAAAACAAGAGAACAGAAAAAACAATCTTGTAGAATCAAGTTCAACCAACCAATGGCAATCAAGCTTTCAGGAGCAGATAACCAACACCATCTTCACAACCTTCCGACTATATCCTTCCTCTTTCTCCCCC